CTTTTTTCTGGCTGTTCTACCTTTTACATCCCTGAGAAAAATTTGCTGAAAAGGACCAAGCTATTGGCAAGACAGAGATGCTAATTGCATTCTTTTTAAATTGCTTCTTAACTCTATTATCCCATTTCTTTATTTCATTAATTTAGATAAAGCTCTTTGTTCTTGCACTGTCACCTCCAAATCCAGACTAATCTCTTCAAACCATGGGCGTTTTCAGCTCTTTCAGCTAGAAGAAAATTGGTATTTTCTTTAGTGCTGTTGCCTTACATTGTCTTCAAAATTCCTGCTCATATTTCCTGAGGTGTATTCCCTATTGAATACCGAATACTTTTTTCTTTTTCCCCTCATGGCATTTGAACTTTATATGTACTCCTCAAGGTTTGCCTTCCTGCATTTTGTAATTCCACCTTTTCTCCTGTCACCTATGAGACACCATTCATTTCTCCATCATGGATCCTTGTTTTGAGGTAAAATTTCTAAAACTTCCATGATTTCAGCTTTCTCTCCATTTTGGAACTTGTTTACTTTTGATGCCGTTTCTTCAGGATTATTCTCATTTTTGCTGCTGCCACTTGCTGTTTTGAACCACAGTTGGCCGCCCAGAGGCAAGAATTTGAGAAAGCAGCTGTAATAATTGAACTCACCAAATAAAAAAATGAATAAAAGTCTTAATTTTCCTACCCCTTCACTTCCTTTTTGTGACTCTGCCAGCCCTTTATCTTCCCTCACTTCAGGACTGAGTTTGCCAACAACCACACCAGACAACCGGGGCTTCAAAGAGAGGCTCCTGTTTCTTTTGGGCCGCCACAGAGATTTTGTCAATATTCACAAGATGGCAGATTGTTCTTAGACGTTAAAAAAGGAAAGTCTAGAAAATGTTGCCTGCTGAAGACAGGGAATGTTAGAGGGACCCTTTCCTTCTACTCCAATGCCCATCATCCTAGGCCCACATGGAACATGATGTTCTCCCCTACTCCCTTGCAGCGTCGATCTAGCGTTGCATGCAGGATCCACCAGGGGGCTGCCTGGGCTGCCGTTACAAAGCCATCACCAGCCTCCGCTTCAGGAGAGAACTGAGCATGCGCTGTTCCAGCAGGTCGAGAGACATGCTCGGTGCATTTTCCAGAAGAGGCTGATGGTGCTTCCGCCCTTCCTACGGGTGAGATTCTGCTCTCGTGCTCAGTAAGTGGGGGGACGTTTCTTTCACGGGCTGGACCGTGCATGGAGACAACCAAAACTTCATCAGGTTCGGAGGCGTGGGAAGGGGGGAGCCCAGGGTCCCATGTTCCCCTGCCGCCCCTGTGCATGCACGGGCCAGGCAGGGAAGAAATCAAAGCTCCGGACGCGCTGCGTTGCCTCCAGGAAGAAAATCAGGATCGCCAGAAAGGTCGGAGCCATTCAGGATTAGGCTAAAAGTGGGGAACCTGTTTCCAGGAGATGCGTGAATGAAAACATCATGTTAAGCTGGTTTATTGATTCGGGTATTATTCTGTTTGCATTGAATGGTGGTTTGTTGATTGTGATTTCTCAGGTAGCCATAGCAGTTTGGGCCAGGAGGTTAATGAGATTCTGCTGGCTAAAGTTACACTGGAAGTTCAAATATTGATTGATTTACCTATTAAATCGATTTAGAAAGCCATTCATCTCAATGGCTATTTGTGACCTGAGACATTTATGATCTGGATTGTACAGAGGTTGCTTTTCACCCTGCAAGCAGCCATCAAAATTATTTGAATAAATGAGTAGGAATAAAAAATCAAAAACATATTTTAAATTTATGTATCCAGATTGTTTAGTCCTTGAAAGAAATTGATCCAGAAGGTTACTACAGATTTTTTTTCCACACAGAGATACGTCACTACCTACAAAGATTTTCCCTATCTTCCCAGATATTGGTGGGTTGATAAGAATTTCTTCTTTCAGTTTTTGTGTGTGCTCAGTTGTTAAGTTGGTCAACCTGTATTTCTGGAATTTTCTTTTGTTTTCCATTTCAGATATATAAGTCGGAAATCTTTCCTGATTGCTCTTGAGTCTTCAGTATCTTTTGTGGGAAGAGGGCTAAATGGACTTAGGAAATTTTGACAGACCTCTTCTGATTAGGAAGACCTGTGCAGATCCATCAGTCTGTTTTGGAGCTGGATTAGAGACCAGAGAGAAGATGGAGGGACAACGCCCAGCTGGAAAAAGCCCTGCAGCTGCTCAGTCTTGGAGCTGTGAGATGAATGGGGCAAGTCCTGGGCAGAAGAACCAAGAAGAGGAAGCCAAGAGTTCAGAGGTCCAATGCTGTCACTTCAGAAAAGTGCAGTTCCAAGAGGGGAGGGGTCCCCGAGATATTTGCAGTCAGCTTCACCACCTTTGCTGTCAGTGGCTGCAGCCAGAAATACACACGAAGGCCCAGATGCTGGACCTGGTGCTCCTGGAGCAGTTCCTGGCTTTCCTTCCCCCAGAGATGGAGAAATGGGTGCGGGAGTGTGGAGCAGAGACCAGTTCCCAGGCGGTGGCCCTGGCCGAAGGCTTCTTGCTGAACGTGGATGTGGAAAAGATGCAAGAAGAGTTCCAGGTGTGAGAATATAGTCTTAACAGGTCAGAGTTTTCTGGAATTATGAACTCTTAAAGCGAGTTGTTCTATTCTTCCAGAGGATATATTTGGGGCAATTCTTCCATTCTGTTTCGGGTTTCAACAATGGACATTGTAGTAGTTTGAAGGTGCAGTATGGTAATTCATTTCTATCTCTGTGCTCTTCCTTTGTTTCTCCTATCACATCATGTCCAGAAATCCTTGGAAGCCACGACTGAGTATCCCAAGGGGGGGAAAGATTCATCCAAACCCTCTCAAGAGCTGCTGTTCGGGGAGAACTTCCAGAAAGGTCAAAGTCAGGACATCACGCCAGGTAACAGAAGGTCTTTCTGTGCGATGTGAGATTTCAACATTTAGCTGATTCTTTAGCTGCACATCATTACAATCTCTCTCTTTAACAAATCTGCTTCCACCATTTTTCTCTGTCTCACAGAGAGTGGAAAGCTGTCCGTGGAATTTGTAGACTCACCTCCTCTTTGTGGTGGAGCTGAAGGATTGGCTGAACCTCTACTTCAGGTAAGGAGGAGAAATGTCGGAAAAGGTCCATGAATCTTGGATGGATTTCATTTTGTTCTAGAGTTCAATGTATAAAATTGCTGTTTCTAAGCAATATAAATTTGACATCCAGTCATTGAACATTCACGCCCAGCTTAGCCTATCCTCTCTCTTCTGAGGGGATCCTTTGTGAGATGCTTTCTCCTCCTGACCAGACAGTTGTGAGCATTGGGGCTGTTCCTTCTGTCTCCCAGGGTCATTCTCACATACCATTACAAAAAAAATCCTTATTTTGCCTTTTAAAAAGCATCTTTGGGACAAGTGTGATCTGGTGATTGAGAATCTCCATAGATATATATATCTAGTACTATTACAATCTCTTTTAACACCTTCATGAAGGTGTGGATTTGGCGTATGTTGGTTCCTCAGTTGATAAAGTAAGCCATTGGCAAAAATAGGTGTGTTTTGTCAGTATTTTGCATTGCCCACCCTAGGAAGAATTGGATCCACTGATAATTAGTGGATTTAAGACCCAACTACCAATTGACCAAGAAAACTATTTTAGTTGGCTACGCTGAGAGGCATTCCAAATATCTCCAACTAGATCCAATCTGCTTCAGTTATGTCATCAGCCAAAAATGGTGAGATCTCACTTTGAATTCTGCAGAGGATGCCCATTTTGTTCACTAGATCTCTTTCCTAGAATTAATGGAAGAAAAACCTCAAATTATTCTTGGGATTATCTGTTAATAGGGAAATTTCTTTTCTTCTTCAGGATGTTGTGTCTTTTGAGGAAGTGGCTGTGTATTTCTCCAAGGAGGAGTGGTCCCAGCTGGTCCCTGCCCAAAAAGCTCTCCACGGAGAAGTCATGCTGGAGAATTCCAGGAATCTGGCTTCTCTGGGTAAGAATCCCTGTCTGTGCTCGGAAACATAGAGAAGTTATGGGGTGGGGGTGGGGGCTTAGATGATATTTCTGATAAAAGCATCATCTATTGATACTCTGCCTCCTGCTGTTTTCCCCACAAGAAGAACCTTGTGACCTGGGTTGAGCTGAGGGAGACTGGCCCAAAGTCACCCAGCCAGCATTCATGCCTAAGGCAGAACTAGTACTCCCAGTCACCCAGTTTCTAGCCTGGTGCCTTAACAGTTTGACCAAACTGACTTTATGGAAGAAGGAAATTTATTGGAAGAAAAATTGAAAAACTGGCTTGCCTTCCTTTTTACATAAAGGAAATGTGTTCTTTTTTTAAAAAAAAAAAAGAAATAGTTTCTAGTCATAAAATACAAAATGTTCATTTCCATGCCATAGAAGATATCAGCCAGAATGCGTGGGAGAGGCTCCATGCAGGGATGGTGTGGCCTCTCTTGAGCAAAGGTCCTGCCTACCAGGGGTTCAGTATCCACTCCTGACCCTGGTCACTGGCTCCCCGATGGGTGTGAGCTGCTATAAGCAGGACTGGATTTAGCCCTGAGAGGGATGTTCCCTTCCTAGAGATGTGCCCACTTGTGTACAGAGTTTAATATTAGCCTAAGTTGAGGGTGGGGAGCTATTGCCATCCAGGAATTCCCCTTGGCTTTCAAAGATTCTTCCCTGAAGACAAGTGGAGATGAGACTTTCATTGAAATTCGGGACCGGGTGGATATGTTGCTAACCTAGCATGATACAATGTCCAATGCACTTAGGGAGTACGTGGCACCATGGAATAGTCCCACGTCAAAGATTAGATCAGGAAGAAAAGGTTTGATTTTCCCCCTATTCTTGCTACAATTTTCATTTTTCTTTTCCAAGGCTTTAAAGGGCAAGAAAATAAGAATTGCAAGGAAGAATGCCAAATGATCCATTCAAAAGAGGGAAAAGGGAAGTTTCCAGATCAGATACAGCCAAAGAGTGATGAAACAAAGAAATCACAAAGTGGAATGAAAAAAGGCTTTCCGAGGTCCAGTTGGCTTCATTACCATACAAGCATTGATATGGGAGAAGAATTATATAAATGCATGGAGTGTGGAAAGAGCTTTAATAAATCTGATCATCTTATTTCCCATAAAAAGACACATTTAGAAGAGAAAACATATACCTGCAAGGAGTGTGGAAAGACTTTCTGTAATAATCACTCTCTTAGAAGTCATGAAAGAAATCACAAAGGAGAAAGACCTTATAAATGCATGGAGTGTGGAAAGACCTTTACTCGTAGCAGTAATCTTAATTCCCATAACAGGATCCACACTGGAGAGAAGCCATATCAATGTATGGAGTGTGGAAAGACCTTTACTTGTAGCAGGCGTCTCAATTCCCATAAGAGAATCCACACTGGAGAGAAGCCATATCAGTGCCTGGAATGTGGAAAGACCTTTACTTGTAGCAGTCGTCTCAATTACCATAAGAGAATTCACACTGGAGAGAAGCCATATCAGTGCCTGGAATGTGGAAAGACCTTTACTCGTAGCAGGAATCTTAATTCCCATAACAGGATCCACACTGGAGAGAAGCCATATCAATGCATGGAATGTGGAAAGACTTTTACTGGTTGGAGTAGTCTCAATTACCATAAGAGAATCCACACTGGAGAGAAGCCATATCAGTGCCTGGAATGTGGAAAGACTTTTACTGGTTGGAGTAGTTTCAAGTACCATAAAAGGATCCACACTGGAGAGAACCCATATCAATGCATGGAATGTGGAAAGAACTTTATTAGTAGCACTAGCCTCAATTCCCATAAGAGGGTCCACACACTGGAGAGAAGCCATAACAATGCATAGAATGTGGAAACACCTTTACTTGTAGCAGTAAGCTCAATTCCCATAAGAGGATCCACACTGGCTAGAAGCCCTTCCAATGCCTGGAATGTGGAAAGACCTTCTCTTATAATTACTCTCTTACAATCCATCATAGGAATCACAACGGAAAAAGACCTTATAAATGCATGGACCGTGGAAAGAGCTTTAGTCCTACTGATCGTCTTAATTCCCACAAGAGGATCCACACAGGAGAGAAGCCATATCTGTCAAGCTCCACGGGGCTTGCCATTCGCTGGGGGGGGGAGTCGCAAAGCCCGCAGCAGCCGAACACCGCCATAGCCGCCCAACAGCAGAACGCCACCGCAGCCACCCAGCTCTCCTCCAGCATCGCTCCAGCCAGCAGGTACGACCCACCCCCCTCCCCTCGTTTCTCCGTGCTGCCGCCTACCTCGCTCGGGTCGCAGAGGCCTCAGTCGGCGTCGCCCAGCGCGAGGGCGAGGCGGGGAGCATGCAGAGACCTGCCGTTTGCCACGAACCAGCCTGGAATCCGGAAGTCGGCGAGTGGAAGCCGCGGAGGGCCAGGGAAGACCGCGGACGTCGGGGTAGGAGCCAGCAAAGGCTGCCGCGAGCGAGGACCAGTCGAGCCGTCGGCCCGTGGTCATTCGGCCGGCCCGCACAACCGACAAGGCCGGGAGGCCGCAGGGGCCGAGGAAAGGCATCTACTGCGTGGACGGGGCTGCAACATCGGAAGGACTGACCAGGACGGTGATGGCATGTTGCAGCAGCCAAGCGGCCGACCTGGA